AAAAATGCAAGTAGAAAAAATAGGAGCCACCCCAGTGTCTCAATCTTTCCAGGTTTGTGGACCGATGGGTGGGTGGGTGGGAGGGAGAGGGAGGGGGAGGGGTAGAGGGGATAGTTCCGCATGAGTGGCTGGCAAGAGTGCAGTCGCGCAAATGGAGTGTACGTGCACATGATTGCCCATTGCTCACCCAAGTGGGGGATGCCCATGCGCTTGCACGCATGAGCTCGCACACCGTTTCTGGGGCCTGGTTGCAAATAGTTCATAGCCCACAAATGGCCTGTGGCCCTGAGGTTGGGGACCCTTGAATTATAGTATTTCCCTTGGTAAGGGAAGCCGACTTTATATACTTACGACAAGAGACAGCTGTTCTCCAGTCATCAATTTCAGCTCCAGCTGCTTGACATTTAGCGGTGTAAGCTTGAAGGTTTTGACAGAGAGCTCCCTCGCCGAAAACCTGCATGTCGTACAGGCAGTTGTGAAAGAACATCTCAGGACTCACAAATGAGTGACAGTCTTTGAATGGGCCTGTCTCAAGAGTGAGAAGTCCACAGAATCTGTCACCTTTATATGGTATTGTTTGGGCCTGGTCAAAAGCAGGGAGCTCGTGCACACATTTCTTAGAGCAAACACTCCCAGTTGTGGGGACTTCCCATGAGATTCCAAAATCATCTACACTTGGGGTGGGAGTACCATCAGCCAGCATGAAATCATCATCCAAGTTTTCGTTGAAGTTGCCACCCAGTCCGGATGTCTGCTCTTGGTAACTCCTAGGTACAGAAACTTCGACATAGTTGGCAGTGTCATAAATGACTTTGAAACCTTCAGGTGACTGAAAAATTATATTATTCCCTTCTTGAGTTATCCAAAATTTTCCATCGCCTCCGCTAAATGGTAGGTTGTAAACCTCATCTTCGACCTTGAACAAGGAAACAAGAATAAAGAATGAATTATTTGCCTATAACTTTGCAGGTGCATGGCAGATTAACATGAATTCCCCTGGAAATTAATAGAAGGTGCCACCTATTGCCCTATAGGAATGGGACTCAATCAACGAAAGCAGAACTTTCACAAAATACAGCTTTTCGCTATAGTGTAATGCAGTGTTTCTCAACCTTGGCAACTTTCAAATGTGTGGACTTCATCTCCCAGAAATCCCAAGCCGGCATGAATTCTGGGATTTGAAGTCCATGCATCTGAAAGTTGCCAAGCTTGAGAAACACGGATGTAGCAATAGCAGTTAGACTTATATACCGCTTCATAGGGCTTTCAGCCCTCTCTAAGCAGTTTACAG